ATACTGGCCAAACTCACCTGGTGATCTTGGGCCTTTCATAAAAGTAAGACATTAGTGATTGAAGAACGATCACTGTAACCACGTGCATGCTTGCCAAGCAAAGGGACTAGGAATAATAGTCCGAACTAGTATGTATAGTCCATTAGCACTGTTGCGTAAACGGTGGTTGTAAGGTGAAATAACAGCCGTCTCGTCTGATTCAACCCCCACGCAGCACTCCTTGCCCCATGACGACGTTGAAAACCTGCCGAAAGTTGGCCTACATCACCGCTTACGCTGGTCCGCTGTCCCCTCTCTCCGATGCCGAGTGTCCGACATTCACCGTTCCACCGCCGACCCAAGCATCGTTAATCCGAGGCATCACACGTCACCTCGCAGGCCGTCTGTTTATCAAAAGCGCGCTGCAAGTTTGAGGAATTGTAGCTCTAGATCGGACTAGTGAGCGAAAGAAAAGGAGCGGAGCAGATGAAATCTCACTTACCAGACCAAATCAATTTGACTAACACAGCGTGGCCCCATATACAGGGCATGCAAACGAGCGGAATGGAAGAGATGCCAAGTCTCCGAACAACCCGTGGTATGTTTGAGATCATGGCCCCACCGAACGGTACTATCGAGCCAACTTGACTTCTGCCGACCTTAGGGCACATCAGCAATGGCTGAAACTTTAACATTGAATGGACCTACATCCTCCAAGTATCCGGCGATCACTCCTGTCCACGGTCATCTGCCACATCAATACACAAGGTTGTGAGGCTTGCTGGGTGACGATCTTTGAGTGGTGTCTCGTTTTCTTGATCTTGCTAGTGGGCGGCGCGAAATTTTTACTTCTACACTCGCTACCCGAAAAGGCTTTAAGTGTGAGGAGGATCAGTTGAAACTGACGAAGAGTGTAGATGATCCTTACCTGCATGAAAGTAACGGTAAAGAACCTCTCAGGAGAAATGGGCGCCCGCAAGCGGATTGCGGTACTCCTTGGTCGAGAAAACCAGATGTTAGATGACTTGAAAAGAGATCTTGGCCCGTTGTCGATTGTTTCAGAGGATTCGACCTCAAGCGGCATGATGGTTATGTCCGAGGAGCCACAGTTGAGAGCTACACCCATGCAGAGGCCTGGCAAAACCAAGGCGCCTGGCAAGCCATGTAGTTTCTCGACTGCTGGAGAAACAAGTGAGTCGATGTTGAACGTTGAACGTTGAACAAGCGCCACGTTGATGCTTTTATTTGGGTTTGTTGATCGATGCCACCTTCATGCGATCAGGAAGTAAATGTGCGTCATTCCAAGGCACATTTGGAAATTTGAGATAATCCTTGAGCATATCGATCTCCGTTAAGTCCGAAGCTCTTGGAGACGGCTAACAAAAGCCTTTATTCTATTCGTCTGACAACGATTTCTGAACAAAATACAATTGAGAATTCTTTATTTAATGTCAGCTGTCTTGTATGTAGATGACCATTTTCCGTCTCATTCTCAATGCCACAGTCTCCTCGTGAACAGAAATTACTCGAACTTCTCAACTTGTACATTGGGGAGTGGAAGATGCCGCCAGCTCCTGCAAACCACTTCCATTTTCTACGAGTTTCGATGGGGAAGAAAAACCCATCTGACTTCGGAAGATGGTACTTCTATGTTAGTAAGGCACTCTATGATTCATGTGCAGTGGGACTTACTTGACAAGCAGTGCCACACTTATAATGGTGTGAGTCAATGTCAAAACTACAAGAATTTGATGTCCACAGAGCTCACAGATGACGAACGTAAATTGATTCGTCATGAGCTCAACACCTGGGACGCTAAGAAGTCAAAATCAAAGAAGATCAGTAAGTATCGCAAGAATGGGAGAAAAAGTATTCAAAGATCACCATCCCCGATCCCAACCTTCTCTTCTCCTGTCTTCGCTACATCCCCACCATCAACTCTGGCTAGGCCAGTTTCTGATGTGGAGAGTGTTGTAAGTCGTGAATCAGATTGCAAAATCATTGGTACGTCACCCTATCTTCATTGTTGAGCATTGTATTCAGATATGATTAAAGGAGAGATCCGAAACATACCTTCCTCCTCCCAAGCCGTCCCAGACTACGATTCAGATAGCGAAGTCGAAATCATCAGTGTGTTATTGTCTTTTATGTTTGTGAGATTGCGATTGAAATTCGAAACGAAACCAGATTTCCAAAGTGTACCTTCGTCATCTCAAACTCTTCTCGACAGGGAGTTGACCATTTCCAACTCAGATGTTGAGGAAATACCTAAAGCTCATGGTAAGTAATCGCAATGAGTGTTCAAAGATGCTATAACCCACAAATAACAGATGGCATAGACGTTCTGCTCATCCTATATGTTGCGGTAAGAACGATAACTTTACTCTATTTGTTCTGTGAAACCCACTTGCCATAATCCAGGCAAATGACGCACACTTCCGTTGGTATTCCCCCCTGCATGATGGAGCATTCAGCCCATTTTCCGATTTCGCACTGCGAGAGGCGCTTGGCTTCCCAGACAACAGATATGCAATATATGATACTTACCTCAAGGAATTTGTACATTTGCCGTCTTATTGTAGCTTCCAAGTTCAGGCCGGCGAATTCTTCATTCTTCGACAGCTGGATCTTACTGACAAGGATTGTCCGGATGTCACCAATTTCATTCACAAGAGTGACAAATTTTCTTCTTCCAGGCTTACGGCAGGAGCTGCATCACAGGATTTGAAAGGAAAATGCAAGGCACAAGATGAGCAGGATGATATTGTGAAGGAATCTAAGCGCATGAAGAGGGATTGTGTTTTAATGGGTGGACCTGTATGACGATTGGCGGTGTACAATTAGTAAATGCAAGTAGCAATTGCCGGATCTCTCCTTTCCGCCATCGTGCTCGAATCTCAAATGTGTACTGTCGAAGTATGTTGTTAATAATGTTCGATTCCTCATGAATGAACCCACCTTAACCAAACCTCTTGGCATTGACGTTGGCGATCGATGTTGATCGCATCGACTAGCTTGGAAGTTGTAAGTGCATTCATGATGACTTGCGACTCGTGATTGCCAGTGCACAATACAGCCAAACATCTTGAAGTCGCCGTCCACAACATCCTTTCCCAGTAGTCCACAACATCCTTGCCCAATACTCACAGCCTTTATACTTGAAATTTTCGTTGGCTATGCTCCATCACCATTCCCAGCAACATGCCCACTCATTGATCACACATCATGGGGTCAAGATCCAAGAACAACAAATGAACATGTCTCGCATGGACCATTGATCAAACTTCAAGGTCAGTTGACACTCCATTCATGCTGATTGACATTATTGAATACTGATAGGCATGAAGCCAAGTTCCCTTCCTTTTCACCATGTCGTCAAAGGGGATTTCGCCTCGTACGTTGTCCATTTTCTCATTTCAAACTATCTAACATCTCGTTACTATCTCAACCAACCATAGCTGCTGATGCGTTGGATCCTCACCACAGAAACTACAAGAAGCTTGCACATCAGCTAGAACAAGGACATTTTGACGGTCTAAGGTGCAAAACCAATTCAGTCCCCCTGATCTAGAGAACTAACCCTATCCAGTGATCCTCTCGCATTGACCTACTGACAGCCATCAGCGAGCAACCGTTACCTCCTCAGCCACAATCCGCCTTGCCCTTATGCATCCCTCAAGAATGCGACACACCCCACCTCTATGCCATCGACAATGCCGCTGAATTTCGGGGATAGTACGCTGGAGCTGGATGACATGCCGGAGTTGGAGGAAGTTTTAGGATTGGAGGTCATGGCTATGGCCGTGGCCCTGCGTATTCATAAGTAGTCTTAATTCTTCTCGAATCCACCCCTTTTGTCTCCATTCACACGTTACGCAGTCCATTGAGCAGTCCATGGAACACCTCGCCTTTAAGAATAGTGAACTTGGCCACTGGCCACTCAAGACTCATTCTTTGCTGAACTTGGCCACAACGCAAAGTAGCTAAACTGGGCCACCAGCCACTCAAGACTCATTCTTCGTGCAACCACTCAAGCCATTGTCATGCTTCAATGCCACAAAGTCAAGGCGGGAACAGATATATTGAGAAGAGCGCTCTCTTGGTGTCCTTACAGCAATCATGCCTCACCAGAGCAGTCTCGGTACCACCGACAATTCGAGAGTTGGAAACGCGCTCATTGACCAACATGCAGCCAAGTCACGTAAGAAGAACCGTGCCCCCTTCCCTTGGTCTGAAGAGCAGCGTGCTTGGATGAAAGGTCATGTTGACCCTTACCTTGAGCTCGACCCGAAGAAATGCGACATGTGGTCCAAGCAGAAAGTGGAGGATCTTGTCAACAAGTGGCGGTTCGCCAATGCTGGAGACGCTCGTCAGGTGAATACAATGTTCATTTGATACGATTTGTTTTCATATTCAACGTGATTCTACAGTGCTTCATCAAATACCTTCAGAATGCTCTAGCCCGCTCGAGGACGTCTCAGAAGCAACCACCCATCATCAAGTTTCCCAGAAAGCGTGCGGAGAATGCAGCTGACTTGTGGGCCAAGGCTCCGGAGAACAAGATACTCCTCGACACCGCTGTTGCAGAGAAACGTGGGGATGCATCGACCAAGAACAATGTTGGCATCCGATCCACACTGAAAGCAGCAATGTTCAAAGCGCTATCTTCTAAAGAGCAGGAGCAATGGGAGAAGAAGGCATCAGAGCTGAAGGAAGTCTCTGCTGAAGATAAAGTCGAGTCTATCTGGGAGTGAGTCACTTTCGTTACATTCTTTCAATTTTTTCTGACTTCGCATTGTCAGGAACCAGGAAATTATGGCAGATACTCTTGTTGCCACCCTTGAGGGTTCAATTGGTATGGGCAAAAATCAAGTTGGGGATGCGACGTACCACGTCCAGATGGCGTATCTTGATAAAGAGGGTAACATTCAATCGACAAGGTGATTTTTTTCTCGAAAAATATGTTCTACTATCGCGATTAACTCAATTGTATCAGTATTTGTTGTGGCATCATGCTCGACGACAAAGCATTCAAAGATGTCAAGCCCGAAACATACACAAGTCTTAGCAAGGCCTGGATCAAGTACGCAACCGAGGCGTTGTTCCGTGAGTTCATTTTATTATGTATCTATACTTCCTGACAGTTTTCTCAGAAAACGACCTACATGCGCGCCCCAATAATGAGTTCGCCATCACACTTGCCAAAGACTCGACTGGAAATCCCATCCTCCCACACAATACTTTCCATTCCTCCACTGATTCCTACTGGAATCCCTAGATTCCGGCCGGAATTGACAGGAATCCAACTGGAATCAACAGAAATTGAACACTAGGACTTCTGGTTAATTAATTTTGGACCCTGAATCTCCTTCTTTAGGTCAGACAAATAGAATTGTAGCACTAAATCTTTTACTAAACAAGGGCATAAGGCATCCGACTAGTTACTTACTACTACATGGATTTATTTATTTCAATCAGATTCAGAGACATTAGATTCTGCATGTTGTTCATCCAAACCTAAGTCTATGTGACTTCATGCCTATCATATTTATTGTAAGTCTAATGTAGTCAGCCAATTTATTATTATATCTTGTCCTATAATAACCTCACAAATGTCTTCTTAGAACAGTTATATAGATTCAAATTCTAATATATTGAAGTGGTACACAAAGATTATTTTACTGTATTCTAAGTTAAAGGAAGGGGGGGAGGAGGGGGGCAGAAATAAATGGGGGTGGAGGAAGGAAGGGATGGGCAGGGAAGGGGGAGGGAAAGGTAGGGGGAAGGGTGTAGGGACAG